CACGCAACGGAGATAGGGCGGGGGGGGGGAAATAAGAAACTGGTAATACTTTAAATTAAGGTAATAAGGTTCTAATGCTCAGCAGCTAATTAACAGCGTACATTAACAGCAGCCTTATTGAATCTTAATCACTTGTGTAGGTGGAAACGCCAGCAAGCCATTACAGTTCCTAACTGGGGGGCTGATTTTTTTCCCACCGGCATGTCAAGGCTGCTCATGACGACCAGCAAGGGAGAATCCTGTCCCTCCTCCCTGCATCCAGCACGGCAGAGACTCGGCGCTGCTCCGCCACGGCGGCTCTTCCCGCTGGCTGGAAAAGGCGGCCAGGGAATGGGCTGAGCCTGCGAACTCGTGCGCAGCAGAATCACACGTCTGCTAGGACACGAGTACAGATTAGCTGGATGGGAACGTTGCCGGGGCTGGGTGGGAAGGGAGCAGAAGCTGCACCTTGGTCCCCAGCACCGCGCTGCCCCGCTCACCTCGCGCCCAGGATCGTCGCTCCCGCAGCAGGACGAGGGCTGCAGGAGCTCCCAGCCGAAATCCGGCGTCCTGAGTCGGGCTTGTACGGGAAAAGTCTTCAATGTGACGTGAACTCCACCAAAACGAGGGGCAGAGAAAGGGGATGAGCCTCAGGTGCGCTGCTGGCATCGCCTCCAGAACACCAACGTTAACAGTGCTCGGTCCCACGGGAGCTCACCAAAGCTGCCCACTTGGCCAGAACCCTGGTTTCACAAAATGCCCCCAACCGGAGCGTGCTGGGGCATCAGCCGGGCCGGCAGCGGGAAGGTGGTCCCGACCGGGGCAGCCTGTGGCAGGGAATGCTGGGCTCGGGCTGGGCTCGCATCCACCCTCGCATCCTCATGACATAAGCGTTCCCTGCCCCACATCGTGACATGCACCCATGTAAAACTGAATGTGCTCCGATATCCATTCAATAAAATTTCAACAAGTCAAGGGATTAGTGCCATTCTGCATAGAATGCACTGGAACGCTTTCCAGGGGAGGACTTGTTAACCCGCTTGTTGCTGGCCAAAAGCGACAGCACAGAACGAGCGGTGCTTGTACGGCCTGCAAAGAAATCATGAGCTGAGAAGGAAAATGAAACCCAGCTCGTCGCCCGATTCTGCAGGATAGCACCTGCAGCTCTGACAATTCCCCTGAAAATACAGAGGCTCTGGGTGACAACATCCCCGCACAGCCGTCCCGACTGGGCGTTGCTGCAGAGGCTGCTGTGTTTTATTTTAGGGATTCACAGCGCAATCCCCTTGAGAGGCACCGGCTCCTGCCCCGGGCACTGGTGCTTTTCTCGTTCACCAGCGCCCTGGGAGGACGATGGACGTTCCTGCGGTTCACAGGACCCCAGCTAATCCGCTCCAGGTGCAACAGCCCGGCCCTGGATCTGCCTCCATCGCTACGGAAAATTCCAGTTTTACTGGTGGGCATCGGAGAGCCCGAGGTGCCCCGGCAAGTCGTTCGCTGCCAGGCAAAAGGCGCGGGAGCGCAGGTCGTGAGCCCCGACGGGACGAAGGAGGGTCCGGCCGTAGGCTGGGGCTCATTCTGTTCATTCAAAGGTGTGCATATAGGAAAAGAAAGGAGGCGCTGAATGCATTTAATGAAGCCCAGGCTTTCAAACACTGCACCAGCCTTCAAAGGGAGCGCTTTGCTGTGGGGCTTCGGCTCAGCGCCAGCAACAAGCAGCGCCCGCTGTTAATCACCATCCCCGTGAAGGAGACCTGGCAGCCTCTGCCCCGCAGAGCCCACCTCCCTTGGAGGAGGAACGAAAAGGAGCTCGGCGACGGATGATGCCAGACGTGGAGCCAAACCGGTGAACGGGACCTGATGGAGCGCAAACGCAATTCGCTTCCCGCCTGGCGCGGGCGGTGGGAAGGCGAGAGCCGCCAGACGGAGCCGCACCGGTGCCTCCGACGGAGCAGCTTCTGCTCCATCTTGCTGAAGAGGCACAAGCTGTCGGGGTAAGAGCCCAGCATTCAGGGTTCGTTACCATCCCCTCCACGTTTTGTCTTTTTGTGAGCTCCAGGATGGGCTGGGGCGCGGCGGCCGCTGGGGGGGGCGGCCCCCCCGGAAG